GAAGATAAAATGAGGCCACAATTATCCAGCCATCTTAACCAAATTTTAAGATAGGAAAGTAAAACAAGCTCAAATTGCTTCAAAAATGACAGAGAACACAAACCACAGCAAAAGTAAGTTTATTCATGGTTTATTTTAATTCTTTGCCACACGATGAGCTCAGATTAGGCGATGGTTATATATATTTTTGTTTTCATTTTTTTAGCAAACGCATGCGCTCACATATTGAGCTTGGTATGCCTGTGGTAAATTACATACAGGGCAGTTCAGTCAGTCAACCAAACTAATAAACTTCTGAACGTAAGCTTAAGACCGCTTAATTATCATATTATATTTTTGTTTAAGGAGACGAGTGTTCCTTCGGCAACAACAACCTCTGCCATTTAAACGCGTCGTGCATTACCACAGCGGGTTCATTTCGCTGCGTGTGCAACTCGGGATTCAGTGGGAACGGTTTTGACTGTAGTGATATAAATGAATGTTCCTTTGGTACACATCTTTGTAGCAGTGCAGCAAACTGCCTCAATACACCCGGCTCGTACAGGTGCAGTTGTTCAGCGGGTTTTACAGGAAATGAGAAGTCATGTCATGATGTCGACGAGTGCGCAAGCGAAACTCACAATTGTCATGAGCATGCATCGTGCAGAAACACCGCTGGTCCCTATGATTGCAAATGCAATCAGGGTTACCATGGAAATGGGCTCAACTGCACAGACATCGACGAATGTTCTTCGCACAATTACAGCTGTCACTCAAATGGGAATTGTGTGAATTTTCCAGGATCGTTTAATTGCACTAGCCAGAATGGATTCACAGGTAATGGTTTTGACTGCAATGATATCGATGAATGTCTTTTGAAAGAGGAATATTGTGGAATCAGACATCTTGTGTTAATCCGTTTGGCTCTTTCTCTTGCACCCCAGACTGTAAGCTGGGTTTTGCCGCTAATGTAAGTGGATGCGTGGACGTCAACGAATGCGAGCTCAACGAACATAAGTGTGATACGAAGTCTTCATTTATCAACTCGGATGGTTCTTATCACTGTAATTGTCTGCAAGGATACACTGAAGATGGTTTCAATTACACTGATATTAACGAATGCACCTCTAACGTTCACCCTTGCAGCAAAAATAGAACATGTCGCTACTCACCTGGGTCGTACTAATGTGTTTGCGATGAAAAACTTGACAGCTGTGTTCCAATCAATGGCTGCTTTCCGGGGCGTCATAGAAATGCCATTTGCACTGAAGTCAATGGTTCATTTATTTGCAAGTGTATAACTGGATTCATTGGTGATGGACAACTCTGCACAGGTAGTTCATACCTCTTGTTTGTATGCGGCGTGCATTTGAGGTGTAACCAGGCAACAGTTTCGTCCCATGTTAGTAATGATATGGACTCCGGAATTCGGGAAAATTTTGGCTTGTCGAATCCGGATTTCCGGGCTTTGGAATCCATTATTCAGCACAAGGAATCCGGAATCCCACTGACGATTAGAATGCGGAATTTAACTGCCACTGACAGAGAATCCGGAATCCACAGAGTTGTTATTATGTGGGTTTTATTTAGTCTGAAGTTGATTTCGGATGACGCATTTTTGGCTACGTACGCAGGTTAACGCACGTAAATTTAATCACGTAAATAAAACAAAGGCAAGATAAAAAGTACTGAGCTTAACGGAGAAGTTGAGCGAGGTTCAACTTTCATGCTTACGAGCGACCTTTCACGCATTGCCTCTATTTTAGGGACCGATTTTTGATTTCTGCACTTATTAGTCTTAATTTTACCTAGAGGGTCGATAATTCCACTATTAAACACTGAAGAATTAAAAATAATTTTATGGGCAGTGTCATAGAAAGGAGCTAAAAACCTTAAGTTCAATTTTGATTATTAGTTTTAGCGTCTTTTGTGTATTTCAAAAGATTGAAATCTTATATCTTTGATTAATACTTCGTGTTATCCACAGACTACCAGTTCATCGACCTCTCTCTGATAATATTTTGACACTAAAATGCAAGTTGCAAATTTATCTATGGAAAAGTTACTAGAACTTCTATTTTGTCTAAAAATAATGTTGACCTTGTAATTCACAGCATCGGAACATTGCATTAGACTGTTTTAATATTCTACAATTTGCAGCATATTTGAAAACACATTTTTCTTTCACTTATTTTTATATACACGTATCTTTCCGCTACAGTTATTTTTCTGCTGGTATAAATATGTTTTAAGCATTGAAATTGAATTCTTATTGAAGAGCAGGTGTTAGGGGCTTTTCTTAGGTAAGACGCGTCTTAGCTAAATTTCAAATGAAATGTGCCTCTTATACGGGATGGTTTGAGTCTTATTTAGGATGTGCCCTATGTAAGACTACCCTGCAAGCAGACTAAAAAGGCTACATTTCGCTGTGTGAACTGGAGTGCGAAAACTGGCCTCTGCCAACAACCGTTCAATTTTCTATCGTGCATGAGCAAAATTCATCACCCGATTCGCAAGCAAAATTAATTGTCAGGTCTGACGTCAAATCACGCCAGATTCACGAGATAAAAAATTGTGACAACTCTGATCTGCTACCCAAGACTCACACAATGCTCTAAACCGGTCAAGAACAGGAAAAAAACGTTTTTTTTTAATTTGTTTGTCCAGATTTCTGGACGGATTTGAACGGTTGTCGGCAGAGGCTACTTTTCGCACGACAGCTCACACAGCGAAAATTTAATGTAGCTTCTGCTCCCGGGGTAACGTAAGACGCCTCTTATTCTTGCACGTTTAAACGGCCCTATTGTTCAAATGCTCATTAATTCGACCAATAATTACGCCATCTCTCAATCGAGATCTTCGCTTAGAAGTATAGTTGTGTAGTAAAATCACCACAACTCTTTAGATAAGGAATATAATACGTGGTAAACAAGACTATTCCAAAACACGTACACTACCAACGAGAAGAAAAGTTTGAGGCTCAAGAATTTGAGATCTGTTCACTTTAGAAAGGCGCGAAAATAATCGTGACCGGGATCACGGTTTTTTAAATGATAAGCTTAAATAAAAGTTTGCTCTCCTTACCAAACATGCGCCAAAAATAGGTAATGCGAACAGAGAACATCTCATTATATCGCCGATTGTATCACATGGATCTGAAACAGAAACCCAAATCAGGTAAAATTATCCCTCATCTTCTGGACTCTAAGCTTTTAAGTATAAACGCAAAGTGGAAAAAACAGAAACCACTTCAAAAACCCTACACCACCATAAGCCAAGCACAAATTCGTAAAATAACGGCGACGATACGAATACTTTTGCAAGTTGTAATTAATGATTAAATCAAAGCGTGGTTAACATATTATATACTAACACCGGTTTGCAAATCTGCAAAATTTAATTTAGCTTCTACATGTATCTCATCCGGTTTCTAGCAGGACAGATCATTACGGAGAAATTTATTTAAAACTGGTATCAAAACCAAAACAAGATGACTTGGGCACTAAAACGATCGCTGCTTACCTCTTATCAGATGGAAAAACAAAACAATGTCCTTTGAAAGCAGATCTTATAGGTTATATTAAAAGGAAGTGCTATTTTGCAAGATTACGCTGAGCTTGCTGAACGTCCATGAATGGTCCATGAATGCTCCATGAATGCACAAGTACGTCAGCGGTTACCGTGCTGACCGCATCACAAGATTGCGTTTAATAACTCAAGCGTGATTACAACACGTGCCAAGTTTTAAAAGTCAGTATCGGACAATCGAATTATATAATTTTTCAATTTAATGTGTTTTACGTTTTTGTTAAAGCTCACCCTTGAGTTTTAAAGCCGCCATCCCGCGATCTCGAAGGAAGGTTAGCCCCCTCCGCAGGCAGGACAGGAGGCTACATCTGACCTAGCAAAACCGCAACAGTGATCAAAATAAGTATGATGACGGAGGGTGTTATTTGCAGGTTGCAGGTTGCTGGTTAGAATTTCAAGTACGCGCGAACGGTCAACGCGAAACTGATTTTGTGAAAAAAAAACAAAACAACAACAACAACAACAACAACAACAGCGTCACGTCACTTAACAGCGTCACGCAAACCGCAAATAGTCCCAGGAAATTGTTTTTTGCAGGAGCCCATGGGCTCTAGACGTGCTACAAGTCGACTTGAGTTAGATTTTGCAACCGGAGCCCTATAGATCAAAATTTCTCAGCTTCACACTTTTAAAAATAACAAGGAATGCTAAAAAAAAAAGGATGTGGAAATTTCCACGTGCCGGCCAACCACGGCGTTAGAATTTGATACGTGACAGAAGGTCACGCCGAACGTGTCACGCTTATAATACTTCCAAAACAGTACACTTTCAAAGGAACAAAATAAAAAGAACGTACCTAAAGAGAGCAACGCACACATTGAGGGCCAGTCGGATGTAATTCATCGCATGATCTGCAATAACATCAATATTTTGCTTTCTGTTGAAATTCTCCATCACACCCTCCACGTGCTCGACCACGGCGTACTGATTCCAACAAGAACCATACATTACCGGGGGTGGGGGGGAAACACTCCCTCATTTGGCCTATACGGGTATGTGCCGCTGAACAGGGTATGGTTTTCAGGGTCTTGAGTCTTAAACAGGGTATATAATTTCACTACTGGGCGTCTTGAACAGGGTGTCTTTTTAGACCCGAAGCCTTAAACAGGGTGTGAATTTTGGTGGTGTGCGGTGTGCGTGACGCTGTAACTGAAAGACAGTTTTTATTCTCAAAATCACTTTAGCGTTGACTGTTTGTGCGTACTTCAAATTCTGACCTGCAACCTGCAACCTGTAACCCGCAAATTACACCCTCCGGTATGATGAAAAATCAAACTCTTCTTCCTAAGAAGCCGGGGGGAGGGTACTCCCGCGAATTTTGGATAGGGGTGTGCTGCGAAGGTTCGTGAACCCTAACCCTATTTAAGGACTAAGAAAGCGAAAACTGATACCCTTTTTAAGGCCCAAAGCCGAAAAATTACACCCTATTCAAGGAAAGAACAAAATTATTCATAGCATGGAAAGGAAAACTCTATTTCTTGGCTGTAACATTGGATGTATAGCATCAAGCATAGAATACTAGAATACTTAAACGGATACATCAAGTTTAAAAGAAACTGTTCGTTTAGGCGGGCATTTTCACACTGCAGTATTAGATAACTGACAATTAAGCTACCCTATCTAAGGACCACACCAGGGACACAGAAACAAAAGGGTAAAAAAAGATACCCTATTTAAGGACCGAGAACCTCAAAAACCATACCCTATTCCGCGCCTCGTACCTATATAGCCCATATATGGGAGTACCCCCCCCCCCCGGACTAAGAAGTCAAGGATGAAAGTCGCAAGAAGGCCAAACCGCGCCATTTACTCATCCTTGATCTAAAAGGGGGGAGGGACATGATCAGGGAGGGCGGAATCTTAATTTTTTCTCTACTTTATATTCGAGACTGAAGCACTGTTCTTCACCTTTACCGAGTAGTCTCCACCGGAGTTCTTTAGGTACAGAGGAACCTCGATATAGCGAACCTCTGAACCCTACGGATAGTCAGTCAAATGTGTGAAAAAACATCTCGTTATAACGAAACCTCGTTCTAGCAAACAATTTTTGCCAGTCCCTTGGCACTTCGTTATATCGAGTGGTTTCACTGTATCGTGAATTCCTTACAGTGTTCTCTAGCTAGTGAGCCTGGCCGGCCTATTGCATGCACTCATAGCAAGTGTGTAATAGGCTGATTTAATAGTCCTATCGTAGACCAGGTTCTACCTGGACTTAGGATACTCCCCTTCGGCTCNCCCCCCCCCCCCCCTCTCATATAGATATGTGTCGCCCCAAACTGGTACAGATTTTGCCTACCACCGAATAGACCTCTTCAAATTCCATCAGTTTTAGACGCCAGGTCTGAAAATGAGTGTGGAAAGTAGCATTTCTTGGACTGATCTGCAGGCTCAGCGTTTGGAGAACCGGGCGGTACACCACCACCAAGAACTGCAAAGAGTAACACCCCGGGAGACACCCCTGCTGCCTACAGTCCTCAATGGCAATACCCCACGAGGAAAGGGGATAAGTAGGTACAAGCTACAATACTAGACTACGAGTAGTCCCCCATTTTTCCTCAGGGATAGTAGCGAGCGAAACGCGAGCGCGCGTGAAGATCACTATCTACTATCTAATCTACTATCCCTGAGGAAAAATGGGGTACTACTCGTAGTCTACTACAATACCAAATCGATCACGCTTATTTTATGGGTATCATATTACCTTTTCCACAAGGAAACGTCACACCCACATCGTTTCCTGCTAGGTTTTGAAGTGAGAGCTTTCCAAATTGATATGTTTTGTTACAATTAACCTCGCGTGGAGAGCCAGTGTGCTTCATGCTGTCCACAAGTGAGGTAAGTTTGTAAGAGTACAGTATTTAAAATAAACAAGGATCCAGTGGTTTGCTTCCCCTGGTACCAACGAAAGTATTTTACGTTAGGAGAGACTTGCCATTTTAGCCGATGAAAAGCCTTGACGTTTCGTATGTAACAACATACATCTTCAGAAGTGACTGTTAAAAAGGTTACAGTAAAATTTTAACATCTAGAAAAAAAGCTGGAAGCTAATAAACAGGTGAAAACATTAACTAATGACAACAAATGATAATGACAGACTCAATCTGAAGTCAGCAGGAAATTAACAGATTGTTCGAAAATTTTTACAAAGCGTGGATTCAGACCGGTTTCGAATTCCTCCGTGCGGAAACGATCAGCTACATTGTTTGAAACAGTAAAGAGAAACAGCATGCACTGGGGTTTCAAGCGCAGAGTTGCACAACTCGGTCACGCCCCCCGGCCACCTCAGGCGTGCGTTAAATATGTTCTTCCAACGATCTCGAAAAGAAGCTTAGCCACTTAACTGCAAAAGAAACCGTATTTTTGCGTATTCAAGTTCACGCGAACAGTCAAATAAAAGGTCTGGAGCGAGGCTGAAAACGGAAAGCTAAAAGAAAAACCGACTGTTTTGCATTCTACATGGTCACGTTCTAGTGTTTTTATTCCCAGTTTTAAAACTAACCTTTCAAGAAGATTAAGTGAAAGCTGAAACAGCTTATTTGTGACAGTGGATAAACTTTTAGGGAAATTGATGTCGTGTACCCAACTTGGCACGACTTGGTTTTCTCTTCATTATTTGAGTAGCCTCTTAAGAATGGAAGGATAGGTAAAGGTATAATGACTGAATGAACAATTACCAAAGTAACTTAATTGCCCTTTGATGTAATTTTAGTTCTTAAAATTGCTTTCGCAATACTGTAATAGTATGTACATGTATGGTCATGTAATTAAAGCTCGTTGCTGTTCAGTGTTGTGATTAAAAGAACGAGCCAATCTATGACCGACATTTAGATCAAACGTCAGCCGTTATCGCATTGTAAGTAATTCATCGATTTCTTCCCTCATCACAAACGGTTCGAAAACGGATAGTGAGTGGCACGGCCAGACTTTTTTGAGTGGATGGACATTTCGCCTTTCCCTGAGTTAGGCGGGAAGTCCCGCTATCCGGATAGCAGGCTCTTTGCTAGTCCAGTACGTGGTACAAAACCGCAATGGTGGAGAACAAGTTTAAGGGACTCACCGAGACAAGACAAAAGAAGGTTTACATCAGTTAAAATGGTAGTTTTTTTTGCCTTGCTTTTTTTCTCTTGTCCCAGTGCGTCCCTTGTTCTCCTGCTTGGCGATTTTGTACCACGTGAATGACTAGCTGCGCATGCCAAAAGCCTTAATTTTTCAGGTGTCACAGCTAAAGTTTAACAAAATGCAGTGAAGCATTCCTATTCTCTCAGAGCGTTTGTTCTCGCCTACGTTTATACAGACTGAATAAACCAGGAGATGTTGCTTCCAAGTTTGGAATTTCTTTTAAGAAAAAGTTTTATTTTTTTTTTACAATCCGTCTCTCTTTCAGGAATCCGTTATGCTTTTTTTAAGTTATGCGGCATGACTTGTTGGCTTACATTAACGACGGGCAGCGTCGTTCCGTTCAAATTATGCCCTGTCCTCGGTGGCTCTTCCTTGCTCTTTGGAATATTTCATTGCCATGCTTGCTGTTCTCGAATATCAATGCAGGTATGTCATACAAGTGAAGGAAAAGAAAAGGTTAAAACTTTAAGATAGACAGACTTTATACCGGCGCACTTGTCTTGTGCAACGTATATATTACGTTATTTACCAAAAGCGTGCTCAAGGATATGGGAGGATATTGGCCAATAAGTTGTTTGTTTATTTTATTTGGATTTTAATTTTTCTTCTTTTTTTGGAGAGAGACTAAGTCGAAAACAACTAATCATGAGGTCAAAAAACAAAAACAAAACGAAAACAAACAAAAACAGATAAGGAAGATAAAATGAGGCCACAATTATCCAGCCATCTTAACCAAATTTTAAGATAGGAAAGTAAAACAAGCTCAAATTGCTTCAAAAATGACAGAGAACACAAACCACAGCAAAAGTAAGTTTATTCATGGTTTATTTTAATTCTTTGCCACACGATGAACTCAGATTAGGCGATGGTTATATATATTTTTGTTTTCATTTTTTTAGCAAACGCATGCGCTCACATATTGAGCTTGGTATGCCTGTGGTAAATTACAGGGCAGTTCAGTCAGTCAACCAAACTAATAAACTTCCGAACGTAAGCTTAAGACCGCTTAATTATCAAATTATATTTTTGTTTAAGGAGACGAGTGTTCCTTATATAATTAGGCAACAACAACCTCTGCCATTTAAACGCTTCGTGCATCACCAAAGCGGGTTCATTTCGCTGGGTGTGCAACTCAGGATTCAGTGGTAACGGTTTTGACTGTAGCGATATAAATGAATGTTCCTTTGGTACACGTCTTTGTAGCAGTACAGCAAACTGCCTCAATACACCCGGCTCGTACAAGTGCAGTTGTTCAGCGGGTTTTACAGGAAATGGGAAGTCATGTCATGATGTCGACGAGTGCGCAAGCGAAACTCACAACTGTCATGAGCATGCCTCGTCCAGAAACACCGCTGGTTCCTATGATTGCAAATGCAATCAGGGTTTCTACGGATATGGGCTCAGCTGCACAGACATCGACGAATGTTCTTCGCAGAATTACAGCTGTCACTCAAATGGGAATTGTGTGAATTTTCCAGGATCGTTTAATTGCACTTGCCAGAATGGATTCACAGGAAATGGTTTTGACTGCAATGATATCGACGAATGTCTTCTGAAAGAGGAATATTATTTTTATTTTAGTGGAAATCAGTCATCTTGTGTTAATTCGTTTGGCTCTTTCTCTTGCAGCCCAGTCTGTAAGCTGGGTTTTGCCGCTAATGCAAGTGGATGCGTGGACTTCAACGAAAGCGAGCTCAACGTACATAACTGTTATACGAAGTCTTCATGCATCAACTCGGACGGTTCTTATCACTGTAATTGTCTGCAAGGATACACTGAAGATGGTTTCAATTGCACTGATATTAATGAATACACCTCTAACGTTCACCCTTGCAGCAAAAATAGAACATGTCGCTACACACCTGGGTCGTACTAATGTGTTTGCGATAAAAAACTTGACAGCTGTGTTCCAATCAATGGCTGCTTTCCGGGGCGTCATAGAAATGCCATTTGCACTGAAGTCAATGGTTCATTTATTTGCCGGTGTATAACTGGATTCATTGGTGATGGACAACTCTGCACAGGTAGTTCCTATTTTGACTCCACTACACAACATCAAGAGACAAAACGTAATGGCAAATAAGTTTATTTTGGGACGGCTTGGCGAGAACCAACCCTACAAAGTACTTATGTAAATACAATAATAGGTGATTTCTGGTGAATACCTAATGTACAACTCTCGTAAACTAGCTTTCACAAAAAGAAAAAACTCGTGCTACAAATGGTCGCTCTTGACCTGAATCACCCAGTTAAGCACGCAGGGCTTAGTGCCAGTTAGGCTGCCAGTAATTCTGGGGAAACTAATTAATAAAACTCTGACAACATATAGCTGGCACAGGGAACACGGTAGGAGCACAGAGGCTAAGCAAAAAGAAATACTGCTATAACTGGTCGATCTCGACCTAAATCCCCCAAATAAGCACGCAGGCTTAGTGCCAGTTAGGCTGGGGAAACTAATTAATAAAACTCTGACAACGCATAATTATATATATATAACTGGCACAGGAAACACGGCAGGAGCACAGAGGCTAAGCAAAAGAGAGATCTGCTACAACTGGTCGATCTCGACCTGAGTCCCCCAAAGAAGCACGCAGGCTTAGTGCCAGTTAGGCTGCCAGTTAGGCTGGGGAAATTTAATAAAACTCTGATCAACGGATAACTGGAACCGGGAACACTTCAGGAGCACAGAGGCTGAGTGCTAGGAAAACTGGGAATTATCTCCACTAATGTACCCAACAAGGCACGTAGCCCCATAACCAGTAAGGCTGCCACAAAAGGCTAGGGCAGGACATTGAAAGTAAACAAATGGATAACGACCCTGGCTAGAAGTCTGTAACATTGCCTGCAACCTAACTGCATCAAACGAGACTTATGTCGCCTCCTAAGGAGCGGTTCCGGGACTGCTGACCTAGACATACATAGAAACTAAATATATCAAGTAAAGGAGCAGGTGCAAAACTGAGATAACTGTACAAGTACATAAAATAAGAAACGGGAAAAACTGAAAACTAGCAGAGCTGAGCTACCGCTTACAAACTGAAGTAAATGTGGTCAGACGGAGGCCAGAAAAAACCTGCCCAAAAAAACCCCGAAGGGAAAAAATGCGGGCAGGAAATCTGGGTAGGAACCAAGGCTCAAGCTCAAAGCCCTTGCTACGGGACTTTACAATGTCATCGAGAATATGTTGCTCCTAAAAATAAATAAAACAACAATAAAGATGTGTGGTTCGTAAGCCTAGATGACGATGACGTATACGCAGCCTTATATACCCCCGATATGGCTACCCATGGTGCACCCGGCCTAGTACCCAGGCCCTGTTGTATCTCGTGCCGTCAAAATATTTATTTCTGTCTTCTTCGCGGGCTCATTCGTCAGAAATAACATACCTCTTGATTGTTTGTATGCGGCGTGCATTTGAGGTGTAACCAGGCAACAGTATCGCTTCATGTTAGTAATGATAGGGACTCCGGAATTCGGGAAAATTTTGGCTTGTCGAATCCGGAATCCCGGGCTTTGGAATCCATTATTCAGCACAAGGAATCCGGAATCCCACTGACGATTAGAATGCGGAATTTAACTGCCACTGACAAAGAATCCGGAATCCACAGAGTTGTTATTATGTTGGTTTTATTTAGTCTGAAGGTTGATTTCGGATGACGCGTTTTTGGCTACGTACGCAGGTTAACGCACGTAAATTTAATCACGTAAATAAAATAAAGGCAAGATAAAAAGTATTGAGCTTAACCGAGAAGTTGAAAGAGGTTCAACTTTCCTGCTTACGAGCGACCTTTCACGCATTGCCTCTATTTTAGGGAGCCATCGTTTATTACGTCCCAGGAGGGGAAGGGGGGACAATTTTTGAAAAGGGTTAATTTTGTGGGGGTCAGTTTTGAAAATGTACAAAGCGTGGGAGGGGGTCGAAATTTTAAGACACAGGATTGACATTATATGTTGTAGGTGTTAAAACATATCATAATTGAAACAAAAAAAAAACCACTTTTCCTTCATTACTAAACCAAAAAGTCGATCTGACTACCCTTTGTAGACAGGCAAACCGTGATGAGGATCAAGCAATTTATCTCTGAAGGCTTGTTTACTTGGACAGGAAAATTCTCTGAATGAAGAATATAGATTGTAGGCTTCTTCCAAATGTAAGTATCCATATCCATGCATCAGATGTTCTTGCACTGCTCTCAGACCTCGAACTGTACAATTCGTCTGCGTCCCTTGCTTTGACCTCTGCAGAATAGACTCCAGCAATAACAAAATTTCATTATTATCAAGACACTGGAGTGAAGATCTAAAAGATTTTCCCTT